AGCTAAGAAATGATGAAAAATTTTAGAAATGAATTTTAAGCTTGGAATCTAACCTCCTACCTGCCCCTAGTTTTTTTAATCTGATAAAACTGAGGCCTAGGAGGCCAGGGAGATGGCTCAGTGGAATAAGCGCTTCCCGGGCAAGCACAAGGGCTTGAGTTCAATCCCCGGTTCTGCAAAGAAAAAAAAAAAGATTAAAAAAAAAAAACAAAAACAAAAAAGAAAAACAACAACAAAAAACAAAACTGAGGCCTAGAAATGACTTGTTCAGCTCTGGACACTCTCTCTCTCTCTCTCTCTCTCTCTCTCTCACTTTCTCTCTCTCTTTTTTTTAGCAGAACCAGGGATTGAACTCAGGCCCTTGCGCTTGCCTGGGAAGCGCTTATTCTACTGAGCCATCTTCCTGGCCCCCCACTTTTTTATTTCTGGACTCTCTTGATGTGCTCATGTCTATGGGCCACCATAACTGAACTGTGGAGTATGCTGAGAATGCAGATTGGAATGGCAGGGTGGCTTAGAATTTGCAAAATGTGAATTTGAGGTAATTTATGCTATGTTGCCCCTACCCTCATTGCTTACATTTCTCTCATGCACAGTACCTTGTAACTTGGATAGCTATGGCATCTTCATGTTTCCCAGTATTCCTAGTTTCTGTCTTGAAGATATCTCAACTTAGTTTTTAAAGTCCATACACAGGGCTCTCTGAGAAGTAAAGGATACTTGCAATACCCTACGTTCTGTGGAACTTAAGCAAACATTGGACGGACCTCTTAAGTTTTCAGCAACGTGCAGTATCCCTTCAGGCAGCACACCTTCATGACCTCACTTAGCTACATAAAACCCTTCATTCAGTTAGGTGCACTGTTTAGCTTCACATTTGTGTTCAACCTTGAGTATTGGAGAAACAGGAGAGAGACTGTGGTTTGTGATGGGAAGAAGTTAAGGCTGTTGTTGCCCTATGCAGCATAGTGATGTCTCAAGGCAGGGACTATTGGTTTTTCTTTTTTAAGTGATAGAAATCAACAAAAGTTCAAGTAAGAAAATTTTTATTTGCATTCTCATCATTCAGAAATAACTACCTCTTTCCTCTGTTAATAATTACACAAGTGGCATGTAGGTGTTGAATAATTAAAAATACAAATGCCCCATTTAAAATACTTTTTGTGTATACATGTAAGTTTATATAGAAAATATTAACTATTGTCTACTGCGGCTTTTTACATGGTGTTATACTGTATGCCTTCCTGTCTTCTGCACTTAGGATTGGTGCTTGGCACTCAATACAGAAATGTTTCCTGATTTAAAAATTAATGCAATTTTTTGTGTGTACTTATCCAAACAACTTTTACTTTTTTTAAATAGCAATGTTTTATTTGCTCCTAGGCCTTCACAGATGTGGCTTCTTTTGCCTGAAATGCCCAGTTTACTTCAAATGCCCTTTCCTTTGGGAGACTATCCTTGATCATTTCCTGATGGATAGGATCTGTCGCTCAGAGGCCATCAGCACTATTTAATGCTCATCTCCACTGGACATACTTCCCAGCATGTGTCCTTGCTTCACTGTAGCTCCCTGAGGGCAACGAGCACATCCTGCTGACTGCTGTGTCCCTTGCCCCTAACCCATTGCCTTACTCTTGATGCGATTAAATGAAATTTCGAGGAACTGAACTGTGAATGTGTTTTTAGTACTTTAGAATGAGACAAGGATGAAATCCCAGTTCTTTGATAGGTCAGTGCTGCTTTTGACACTTTCTTTGTTTATCTCTTTCCCTCCCCAACATTTCCCATTCACTTCTGGGTCTTGTTGGTTTAGTCTCTGGAATGTCTATTGTCTGCCCATTGAAGTTGGTATATACTACTAGCCAATACAATATTCTGTTCTCTTTCATTCTTGTCCCATGTAGTCAGTCAGCAAGAGTAGCCATTTTGAAATGTGGATAATGTAGCTCACATCTGTTTAAAAATATTTCAACTGTGAAAGCAAGTGGTAATATTCAATCATATGTCTAATGTTACGTAACTATATCTATTAAATATAATTATGCAACAGATTTGATTAAAAAATAGATAATATATCAATTATTATTGATAAGCTATTCTTGTTTCAAAAATCTGCAACATATGTATTGTTGTATGTTACCCTGTTTCTGATTTTTGTCCTTGCTTTTCAAAATAAAATAAAATAAATTAAAAAAAATATTTCAACTGCTTGTGATTTGTTGCAAAATCCTCAGAAGACTTGTGAGGCCCAGCATGTGATGTTTACACTGCCCCTCCTGCTTTTGAGGTCTTGAAATGTTCCCATTTTCTTTGTTGTTTATTTCACCAGCCTTCCTTCAGTTGTTCCATTATGGAATAGTCTTTCCTGCTGTAGGGACTTTGCATGTGATGTTGTCCTTCCCTATCCCATAATCCATTATATAAGAAATATCTGGTCATCTTTCATTCACTTCCTTCTTCAGAGACCTTTTGTGTATCTGACCTCTTTCTCTCTCATAGTATATTTTTTGCCACCTGCCATGTGTCGGATATGATTGCCCATTGCCATTCCAGAACAGAATGTTAAAACTCATGACAGCAGAGGTGATGGCTTGATTACTGTTTAATGATTTCTGGGTAACTGGCACTGTGCTTGTGGAAAACCCTTATTAAACACTGGTTGTAACAGTGAATGAGCCAGGAGGTGGATGTGTGCTTCATCAATTAAAATACCTCAGCAGAGCAAAGACATAGTTCCCTGCAAATCATTTTCTGATGGAACCGGTCCGAATCTAGAAAGTAGGATCTGATGTTAGTGTTTATTTCCTGTACAAAATTTGTTCTTCAGATGCTTAGTACAGAGGCAAGCTGAGTAAGAGAAAATTCAGGGTAGAAATCCTTTCTTGCCCACTCCTCATTCTCATTTTGAAAGGATATTATTATCCTTTCAGAGATAGGAGAATGAGTGAACACCTGAACTTTAAACACCCAAATATCAATGTTTTTTAAACTTGCTTAACGGAATCAGTCACCTGTGGTATTCTCCTTTGGGGGTCTGTGTGAGGTATTTAAACATATTGGTTAAGGCAAGCTAGGGAAACATTGCCCTACTTGAACCTACACAAATGATTAATGGGGAGTTGATATTTACTTTAGAATGTTTTCCTTTTTCTCTTGCACACTAATTTTTTTTCTCTGTGACATCAGAACACTTAAATTATTGCTGGGCTGAGATATTTCAGAGTCTGGAATCTTCAGGTTTATTTGTATTTTGGAAAATATTGAAAAGGAAATATGTGGAGGGAGGTCAGTGAACTTTTAAATTTAATAAAAGTGTTGTTTGACTTCTAACTTCAGTTAGAAGTATTTTCAGAGAGATTCAGCTAATGAAATGTAATGTAGGAAAAAACTCATCTTTTTCATCCCAAAGGTACTGATTTAATGAATATACTTGCTATTCTGCTGTGGCCAAGTCAAACAGAAGATGATAAATGGGATCTTTGTAAAACAGTCCATTGAAAAAACATATTTAATCTCTTGTGGAAATGTATAAAGGAATTAGTAAGGGTGTTTTGATTCTAGGTGAGCAATAGTAGTGGAGAGAATTTCGATTTTTTTTCAGGGTCTTAACGCTGGGTGTATGTGAGTGAAACAAGTCAAACAAATTTACTGTTTCAGGAGTGCAGTGCTTGAGGCTGCTCACGGCAGCAAGCAGCACTTTGGGCCAAATGCATTTCTTGGGTAACAGCTGTAGGAACTCACAAGCAATTCTTAGGATTACAGTTGTTGGCTGAGTTGGAATAGAAACATGTTTTTAAATGGCTTATTTTCTAAAGTTTGTTTGCAGTTACATTTATTTCAGCTAGATATAAAAGATTACTAGCTTGGGTGAATATAAAGATATGTGAAATATGTGTTGGTAAAACTGGAAGCAAAATAATTTTATTATTCATTATGAATGCATATCACCCCATTAATGGCAGTTATACTAAAATATTAAGAATTAACCACTGTTGATTATTATATTTTCTTACGGTATGATATAGTGAAGATTTTAGAGGGAATTAGTGGTTGGAATATTCATAACCACTTTAGATAAAATTGCAGGTTAAGAGCCTCTAGGGAGTCCTAAAATTAATTTAGTGATTTTTAATTGGTTTTTAAATTATTTTCAGTTCTAGGCATTGAACCCAGGGCTTTGCACATACTAGGCAAGTACTCCACCACTGAACTTACAGGCCTAGCCCTAGCAATTTTCAGTGTTTTTAAAAATGAAAATTAGACTAATAGTAATGATAAATATCTTCTGTTCAAACTTTTACTTATTTCTAATTTGTAGTAATATGTGTCTATGTGTAAATGTGAATGAGAACCTAGTAGCCATGAAACAATTCTTTGTGGAGAAATAGTCAAAAGCTATTGAAAGCCATTGTGATAGATTTATAACTCTGGAGAATTTTATGCTCACCAGAAGATGGTGAGTTCCTTTTTGGTGTCATCCTTTCATGTAGGTGTCTTCCAAAGACAAAGGGCCTTTGAAGTGAAACGAGGCAAGTCTTTTGGAAGCGACTATTTGTGTGTCTTATAAGTGGTGACACCCATTCCTCACACATTCCACTTGTCTCAAATGTCAAATTTAAACTAGATGATTTACTGGGAGTGATTATCTGGGCAAACTGACTATGTATTTATTTGTTTTTTCATGTTACTGTCTCCCTCTTCTTCTGTTCTTTGTCTGCATGCACATAGTTCTCAGTCTATTTTATTTTCTTCCCCTGTTCTTATCTATTTTTTGATTCATTTCTGTAATATGAATAGTGTCATGACTGCTTGTATTCCTAGTGTAGCTTTCAGGAATAATGAATTTCTCCTTGGAATTGTAAATTAAGTTTATTCTAATGATTTCAAGGATGAGTGTGAAATATATTAAGAAACAAATCACTCCTACTTATCTTATTTTTCTTGGGTGTTTTTCTCCTTTTTTGCAGCTAACTTCATACTCATTTTCTTTGTGTTTCTAGGCATGGCACAGTCACAAGGCTGGGTGAAAAGATACTGCAAGGCCTTTTGTAAAGGCTTCTTTGTCGCAGTGCCTGTGGCGGTGACGTTCTTGGATCGGGTTGCCTGTGTGGCAAGAGTGGAAGGAGCATCAATGCAGGTGACAGTGAATTCAACTTCAGTTTTTTGGTGCTGGAAATTAAACTCAGGGCCTCTTGCTCACCAGGCAGGTGCTGTGCCACTGAGCTGCAGCTACAGCTCAGTGTGAAGGCACTGGGTTCAATTCCAAGTAATGAAAAAGAAAACGAAGAAGTTAAAGACTGTGGGAGTACTTTGGAATGGAGATTTCCAAAGTTATATGTGAAGACTTCATAGTCTTCTGGAATAACTCCAGAACATCTTACTGTTTTATAGTAGATATTCTGAATCTTACTCTATAATACCTACTTAGTCTGTAAGTTCATGCAGGTAAGCAGTGCAGTAAGCTGGTTTGCATTTTGTAATAAGATTTAGTTTGTCTCCTTATTAGCCTGAGTTCATGCATTGTGATTAATAGCTTTATAAAGCAAATATACGTGTGAGAGTTAAAATCACATAGATAATAATCAGCCTGTTTTCTTTTTGTTTTGGTTAGATCTCATTAAGGGCATAGGCATCAGCTTTAATGTTATAATAGATTCATTTTATTTATTATAGTAATGGTACTGAAAATCAGACTCTTTCCTGAGTTCTGGTACTCTCAAATGAGATAAGCAAGGTCAACAAACTACTAGGGTGGGTTGGGTGACACCAAAGGTTTAGGGCAAGGCTGCCTTTGTGTTTGGTTCTGATTGCATCATTTGATGGTTGCTAGTCCCTGCTGGTCAGGGGATTCTGACCTGAAACCTGTCTCGAAGGTTTCCTTCCTAGCAGGTCACTGGCCCAGAGCAAACAAACCACTTACTTTGAATACAAAAATAAATGCTTTTGTACAGTAAACACAGGTGATTTAGTGATATATGACTTTATTTCCAAATACAACACAGATTGGATTTTGTACTTCCTGCCTCTTTAATTTTGAATTCCTGAAACCCTCTTTTAGACTTAATCCATAGAGAAATGTAACTTTTTCTTTGTTGTACTTTTGAATCACATTTCTCATTTCAGATTAAAACTGCCTTTTCTCTTGCAGCCCAAACCTCCTTTTGGCCATGGGGGACCCTTTAAATCCATCTGTGGGTACATATCTTTTATTAATGACAAATCCGATTCATGATTTCTCTAGTTTCTGTACTTCTATATTGCTATACAACTATCACTATCCTGAGAAAGATATTTCCAAAACAGAAAACCTTCTTACCTTGGATCTCATAATGCAGGGACCATGGGGCAATCAGGTATTCCAATCTTCATATTTTAAACACAATATATTCCTTGTAAGTACCTGTATTTATGGCTTGGGAAGTACAAGACAATTCACTTAAAAATATCTATGATTTTTGTTCACAAGAAAGAGAATGTCTTATGAAGGAGAAGGCTTATCATCAGTGAAATAGTGTTAAACCATGTCATTCCCAAGTGCAAGCCAAGGGCTAATGAGGTCAGCCTTGCATTAGATGCATCGGTATCTGTAGGTGGATTAAAATTTCCTGCAGTATTTTTGGGTCCCACTTCCAAAAGAAATCAAACTTACTACTTTGGGATTTATTTAGTTCAGATGACTTATGTGTTATAGAATACATATTTTTCTATTCTATTACATAGAATTTTTTTGGCTACTGATTCCAGGGAAGTAACTTGAGCTCACATAGATATAAAGGGAGAAATTATTGGAATGCTTATTATGTACTCTTGAGAAGGGCAGGAGTGTGGCAATTGTCAGGGATGGCTGGAGCAGGACTTGATTTCAGTCTTCTCTCTGTCCTGCTGTGTGCATTTTTTTTTTTTTTTTTCAGAACCAGGGTTGAACTTCTGTGTTCATTTTGGCGAGTTCTCTCAGGCCAGCTTTCTCCACATGGGGGGACACATGGCTGCCGGCAGCTCTTGTACCTTAACATGCCAAGTTTCCTCAACATCTGAGATTCTTCTTCTAGTCTTAATTGCACTTTGAAAAACCTGGGGAAAGGACTGGGCTCTATTCAGCCTGCATCACATGCTCTTACCTCTACAAACACCCAAGTTGGTCTCATGACTGGCCCAGCAGTGGCTAGACTGAAGCTCCAAAAGACAATGAGAGCATCTGTTTAAACTTTCATTTCGTTGAAACACTGAGTGAAGTACAGGTGTTTCCTGGAAAAACGGCTGCAGTTTTCAAAAATACAACTGGAAGGATGTTCTGGAAAATGAGGAAAAATATTTATTTGCTACAGTTAGGACTTTATTTCCTGAATTTGAGCCTATTTAGATATAACAGATAACTTCATTTATAATTTCTCTAGACATCATTACATTATTATGGTAAAAGCAATAGTGAAATTTAGTAATCAAGAAATTTTGGCATATTTCATGACTTTAATATATAGCTTTGACAAGCTGAACATGTGTAGACAATGGGTTTTAGCACACATTTGACTTCTGGAATAAATTCTTTTCTTGAAATTTCTATAATTGTGGGGCTAAGTTCTAGAGTGTCCTGCAAGAAACACATCTGCTTCTTTTGACTCTGAGACCTGAAAATTAGATCTGGTGTGAGGCATTTTGTTGGTTTGTATGACTAAAGAAAGGCACTTGGGTATGTGATGAGCTTTTCTTGTGCCAAAGTTTAGAAGTATGAAAGGCAGGCAGAAAAAGAAGAGGTGAGAAATAAAAAAGTAGAAAGCAATGACACAGGTACCCAGATGGGTTGTATGATAGAGGTTGATGTAGGAAATGAGACTCCTGGGCAGTGAATAGTGCAGTGGCACAGGGGGAGGGTGTCCGACAGACTCAAGCCAGAAAAGTGCTAGTGTCCAGACTCAGAAGTTGCTAGAAACCTCCGTGGCGCATCATCTGGGACAGCACCTTGCTGCTTGACGTATCTCTGTGCATGTTTGTGTGTGGCAGTGGTGAGAAGTGTTATCTAGCCACTTATTCTGCATCTCAGTATTCATTGAAGCATTGAAGGGATCTGTGGGCCATTCTGAAGTTCATGTTGATGTAGGTTATCAGTCTTGAACACGTCATTGGATACTACTGATACTCCTGTGTATTCAGAGAATCATATCTGAGCATCTCTGTCACTTCAGATATATGATTAAATTTGCATCTCAGAATATCATTTTGGGATATGAATAGTCTTTTTTTTTTTTTTTTTTTTTTGCCTTTTTAGACAGAGTCTCACTATGAAGCTCAGGCTAATCTTGAAAAACACTAGTAAGCATGTTAGGAAATAGTCATTTATCAGCTGACTGTTAGGTACAAAACACTGTGTTGGGGCAATGGGGGTGAAGAATCAGAGATTCTGCTTTCAAGATGGTTTCACTTTAATAGAGGAAACTTATGAATCTTTTGTTCTAATTTTTTTGATTAATTTAGACATTTCTACACCTCTGCTGTGAGAGATGACTTGAGTTCACTTACACAACATCCCACCTTAATTTCCCTTTTTACATGTTTCCCCTTCACAACTTTTGACTTTTACATTATTTTTTTTATCTCTCTCAGTGATTTCCAGGTTGCTTATAAATATCCTGAAATCTCTATTTCCTACCACAACAACTGAATTACTAATCCTTGATAATGGATACACCATCAGATGAAATTAATATGGAAGTTGTCAAACTCTCAGATAAATATTTTGTCAACTCCTGGTATATTCAGAAATGAACATTTGATTGGTTTACTATGCTGTTTTAGATGATTAACTGAAAATTTGAAGGGAGACAGAGTGGTACCAAAAAATCATATCTGAAGTTCTTTTAAAGTTGGCTAGCTTATTAACTTTTGCTATGGCCACCAACAAGCCCAGGATGTCAGATTTATGTCTTTATTTCTTGTTCATGTGTCTATTGGGCTGGCTACCATCACTCTAGGCTGTTGATTCAGTCTGCTGCATGGAGTGGTGTCTACTTGGGGTGTGCTCTCCTCATGGGTGATAGCAAGACACAGGAGAGTGGGAAGAAACACTGAGAGCTCTTTAATGCCTTAGCTCAGAACTTTAATTCTTCCATTTGCATCCCATTGTTCGAAGTTAGTCAGGGTCAAACCCAGAGTCCTTGAGTAGAAGTGTATTTCTGTCTTGGGAAAGTCTGGCAAAGGTCTCTGGAGAGAAAAAGAAGGGTTGTAAGTGCACCTACTACAGCCTGTGCAACTCCAAGGAAAATACAGTTGATTTTAGAAGTCATCTAGAAAGTTGTATTTACCTTTGAGTATCCCAAGAAAGATCTTTGTTTTTATAGTTCAAAGTGACAAAATTGGGATCTCCTGATGCTGTGAGTCTGGCATGGATTGATCTCTTTTAGATGTGTTTAGGTTTGAGATAGATAGTCCAGGGAAAATTGTACTGCCATTTCAGAAAGGGTTGGCCTGGCTTGGGCTTGCTTTTCTTTTCTTCTCCTTCTCCTCATCCCATCTCTCCCCTTCTTGCTCCTCCTCCTGTTTTTTTTTTTTTTGTTTGTTTGTTTTCATTTTTGCATTGGGATTGAATTCATGGCCTTGTCCCTGAGCTACCTTGCTGCAGCCTGGTTTTGGGACAAAGTCTTGCTAAATTGTGGGGGACGGGTGGGGGACGACTCAAACTTTTTGGATCCTCCTGCCTCAGTCTCCCTGAGTGCTGGATAGGTATGTGCCCACCACTCCTGACTTAGAGATAGCTTCTGTTAAAGATTACTGCAAGGGCCGGCGAGATAGTTCAGAGAACGAAGGACCTGCTAAGGCAAGCGCAGGGGCTGGGGGCTGGGGGCTGGGGTTTGATCTCTGGCACCACATGCTGCGCTGGCCCTGTGATTGAGTCCAGGAGTGGTAGTACATGCCCATAATCCCAGTGCTGGGGAGGCTGAAAACAGGAGGATCACTATGAGTTTGAACTGTGTAGTGAGACCCTGTAACAACTAAATACATTAAAAAAAAAAAAAAAAAAAAAAAAAGGTATCCTAAGTATTCAAAAATTCTACTGGCTTGTGGTTTACTAGGGGAAACTTGTTTCAGGATTCTGTCTTATGAGAAATAAGACTTTTTAAACACTACTCAATAATTCTTAGGTTA